CTAGGCACAATAGATGTAGCTGTTTCATGGCCCTGCCCCTCCCACCTCATCTCCTCACTGTGTTCACACACATCAGGGCTTCTCCCAGTCTCACCTTCCGGAAGCATTTTCTCCAGGAATCTTCTAGACTGGCCTGGTTCACAACTGTCCTCTGGGGACTTCTCTGTTTTCCTGGTCTTCTCTTTCTTGGCTGACACCCTCATTTTGCTGTAGTGTATCCTCCAGCCACTTTCTGAGAAAGGCAGCCTCCGAGGTAAACTTTGACATCTTGCATGTCTTAGAGTATAGTGACTGCACCTGCACCATCTACATTTTGCCTAGGTTTAGAACTCTAAGCTAGAAAACAACTCTCCGTCAGAATTTTGAAAGCCCTGCTCTCTTTCCTTCCAGCTTTCAGGGCAGGTATTGAAATGTGAAGCCATTCCAGTTCCAAAACCTTTGTATTTGTTTTCTTTGGGGACTATAGGGTTTTCTTTGTCCCCAGTGTCCTGAAATTTCCCAATTGTATACTTGGTGTGGTGGTCTGTTTTCATCTATCTGCTGGACCCTTGGTGGGTCCTATGCCCTCTAGAATCCTATGCTTCAGGTTCTGGGAAATTTTCTTGATTCATGTCTTTGATGAACTCTCCTCCAGTTTCTCTTCTGTTTCTAGAATCCCTGTCATTCAGATGTTAGATCTCTAGTGACCCTTTCATTTTCATTTTCTTATTTTCTCACCCATTCTGCACTTTTATAATTTTGTTCAATTTTCTGGGGAGACTTCTCCCACTTTATCTTCCAACCCTTATGCTTTTCATTTTAGCTATCCTATTTAATTTGCAAGCTTCTTGCTCTGAGAGGTTTTTTAAAATAATATCCTGTTTATGTTTTAAGAAAACAGTCTTACCTCTCTGAGGATATTACTTTTCTGAGGTTTTTTCTCCCCTCTATATTGCCTTTGTTGTCCGAGTCTCATGCCTTAGTTCTTGATCTTTGAGGTAGCAGAGATATCTGACATTATAATATGTAATAAATAATATCTTGTGTGTGGCAGGCTTTCATCTGAAGCCTAGTGAAACTTGTTTGCTGGCTCATAGTTAGGAGTGGGCGCCAAAGAGTGGGTTGGAAGTCCTGAGGCTGTGAGTGCGTCTTCCAGTGACAGCCAGGTCTTATCTTTGAGGGACCATCAACGTTACTACCTTTGGATTTTTCCTCTTGGCCTGGTCATGGTTTCCAGAGAAGACTCTTCCACTCTCGTGCCCCAAGCTAAAAGGGTGGCACGCAGGGAACGGAGAGAAGGTAAGAGCAGGAGTCTGGGCAGAATGCAAGCCTTGTTCACGCCCTGACCTCTGCCTTCGTTTTCAGTGTAGAGAGGAAAAGTCTAGTCTCCTCTCTTGGGGGCAGGGGAGGTGTCTCCATTCCAACTACTTGTCAGAGAGTCTTTGAAAACTTAACCAACCTTCTGCTTTTAGCTCCTACCTTATCCCACTTCCACACCACCTCCAACCTCACCTGATGCCAGAAATTTGAGACCCTCTCAGAGGTTCTCCAGTGGCCTTGTGGCTTAGGACTCAGCTCTTTGTCTTCCTCCCCGAGCTGGGCTTCAGTTACTATGTGGCCTCCTGCTTTCTCACTTCCCAAATTTCATTCCTGCTTCCTCTCTTGTGATCATTGTTCTTGCAGGCTGATACCTTTCCGAAACCCCCTTTATCCTTATCTAAGTGGGGGTGGGGAGAGGGCACTAGCAAATACATACATTCAACCTGCTGTCTAGCCCATTTCTTTCAGTTGCATTTATTTCATTATTTATATGTTTGAACACATTTTCAGATGCTGTTGGCCTCTTGTCTCCCAACCCACCTCTGACTTTTTTTTTAAAAATATAGTGGTATTAAATATAGTCACCATGATGTATATTTCATCCCTACGACTTAGTAATTTTATAACTGGAAATGTGTACATTTTGACCCCCTTCACCCATTTTACACCGCCGCCCCCGCACTCTGCCTCTGGCCACCACCAATCTTTTCCCTGTTTCTCTGAGGTTGGTTTTGTCTGGTGTGGTTTCTAGATTCCACACAGAAGTGAGATCATATGGTATTTTTTTCTTTCTCTGGCTTATTTCACTTAGCATCATGGCCCAGAGTCCATCTGTGTTGTGGCAAATGGCAAGATTTTATTATTTTTTATGGCTGAATAAGGTTCCATTGTGTGTGTGTGTGTATATACACACCACATCCTCTTTATCCATTCATCCATCAGTGGCTGCTTCCATATCTTGACTATTGTAAACAGTGCTGCAGTGGACATGGGGGTGCATATGTCTTTTTGAGTCAATATCTTTGTTTCCCTCAGAAAAACACCCAGAAGTGGAATTGCTGGATCATACAGTAGGTCAAGTCTATAATCCATTTGGAGTTAATTTTTGTGTGTGATGTAAGATAGTGGTTTAGTTTCATTCTTTTGTATGTGACTGTCCAGTTTCCCCAACACTATTTATTGAAGAAACTCTCCCTACCCCCATTGTATATTCTTGTATTGTATATTCTTGTATATTCTTGACTCCTTTGTTGTAAATTAATTGACCATCGATGCGTGGACTTATTTCTGGGCTCTCTATTCCATGGATCTATGGAATTTATTGGAATTTATTCCAATACTGTACTATTTTGATTACTATAGCTTGGTAATTCAGTTTGAAATCAGGAAATGTGATGCCTCCAGGTTTGTTCTTTCTCAAATTTGCTTTGGCTATTTGTTTTTTGTTTTTGTTTTTGTTTTTTTGTGCATCTGTGAAAACTTAGGATTGTTTGTTCTATGAAAAATGCCACTGGAGTTTTGCTAGGGATTGCATCAAATCTGCGGATTGTTTTAGGGAGTATGGACATTTTAACAATATCAATTTTCTAATCCATGAGCACTTTTTTTTTCAACCCACAAATGGCTTTTGTTTTAGGTTTTCCCCATTTTTCAATGGACTTGAATGTTCTTATTCAATACTAAGAACTTGTATTTCTCTGCCCCCCCCATCACTGGACATCATTTCTATCTGTCCCCATTTTATTTGTTGGGGGAAATTTTTTCTTAGGTGGTGCAAGCCTATTCAGAGGTTCCCCATCCTCTGTGCAGTGAAGGCTGAATCCAGACCAGGTGGGCAGTGAGGCTCCCATGTGCAAAGCATGGTGTGGGTTCATCTGGTCCATTTGCTCCTGGGGCCCCTTTGCTCTGCTCTTCATTGCCAGTCTTTATTGCCTGTGACGTCCATGGAAGCATCTATTTAAACATCTGCATTCCCACCTGGATCCTGTTCATAGTCGAATTCTGCTCTACATCCCAACCTCACGTCTTCAGGTGTGCGTGTTGAATCACAGCACAATTCTTCTGTCTAGAGGGCAGCTGACTGCTCCGCCAGGCCCTGTGCCCACACCCCTCCCATGACTGCCTTCATGTCATTACTGTTCTACCCACTGGGGGGGGGGCAGGGATGAGAACAGCTGTCCTCTCCCCTCCAGGGTGTCCTGCTGGCTCGTCCCTCAGAATGTGTCCTGGAGGGAAGGGAACAGGATGGAGCACCCTGCTTCTTTATCCTCTCTGACTTTTTCTTGCGGTAGCCCTTGGAATGTACTGGGGAAGTTAGGGGTGGGGGAAATTGTGTCCGTCATCTATTGCAAAATAATTCCGTGTGACAATAACAACATCAGCTCCTCTGTAGCACACAGCAAATGTCTCGTAGCTTACAAACCTACCGGGTTCTGCTCAACTCAGCTCTGCTCCCAGCTGGGGTCCAGCAGGCCCTGCAGCTCAGCGAGGCCAGTTCTTCCCAGTGGTTAGTGTGCATGAGAATCACCTGGAGAGTGTGCTCAGCTCCAGATCCCAGGCCACACCGCTCAAGGCTCAGTGGGACTGAATCCACCTCTCCTGGGCTCACATGTGTCTGCAGGTCCACTGGCTCAGGGCTGACCCATAACCAGTGGGGTGCCTCAGCTCTGTGCTCATTCTCTTACACTCCCTCAGCATGTTCTCAGGGCAATCACAGAGGCTCTGGCCAGATTGAAAGAACCCCTCTAAAACCTCTGTTCACATCATACTTGCCCACGTCCCTTGAGCTTGGAGCCTGAGTGGGTCACCTGGGGTGGGGCTACAGGGAGAGGGAAGAATTGAGGCCTTGAATGCAATCAGCTGCCCTGGGAAATGTGGAGGAAAACTGACTCACACAGAACAGGCTGTCCTCCCCAAGTCCATTGTTTGCCCCTGTTCTTGGTGTGTCTGTTGGTCTATCTCTACCCAGGCTCCGTTCTGGACTCTTTCTTCAACACCTGCTTGCTAAGGACTCCAGTGTGGTCTCCTAAACATAGCTGAAGCCCCCCACTTCTCTCCCTGTCCACTGCATCTGTTAGGTTTAAGGGCTGTCACCTCTCCCCTAAGTTGCTGCTACCACCCCTCCTGTTCTTCCTCCCTCTGGGGCAAAGCTCTTCCAGTCTGGTCTCTGCCCGTCAGGAGGAGTGCATTTCTGAAATATGGCCCTGACCTTGGCACACTTCTGCTTATCACTTACTGACCTGTTGAGCAAGGCTCCGGGAGGTGGGCACCTGGTCTGGGGGGTGTGTTGAGAAGGTGGATGGGTACCTTCTCCCTCTCCAAGGAGAGCCCCTTATTCTGCCCATTTCCATTATGTTTCTGACTGTTGCAAGGGAGGGATTTGGAATTTGTCTCCTCATTTTCTTCCTTGTACCGACCCAGGTGTCCCCAGAGCCTGGCCGTGAATCCTCTCAGGTTCTTGTTTTCCACATTGGGGTCGGGGTGGGGGGTTCATAAGGACAGGAAAGGACAACTTAACTCAAAGAAATGCTATACACTCCCCAAGCCCCAACTCGACCCAAAACTAGTTTGTGCTGTTGGGCCTCTCCTGACATCTCTGGCCCCTCCCCAGGCTTGCCACACACCCCCTTCCTGTACCTCTTCTTTCTCCTCCAGCCTCCGTCCACTCCACAGGTGGGGAGCCAGGACGGCAAGCTGGCCACATGTACCCAGGCTTGGGGAAGAACAGGAAGGGTCCTGTCCACAATGGGGGCAGCCTCTCAGGAATAAGCTATGCAGAAACACGTACTCCTGGCCTCCCACCCCTCTAAGGAAGTCCACGTACCTCCAGCTGCCTCTGGGGCAGACGTGAAGCTTCTGTGCCTGTGTGGCACCAACCCCTTGTGCTGTCCACCCCTGCATAGGGTACCCAGCCCCTTGGAGTTACACGTGGGTGTCCTTTGGCAGTCCTTTCTGGATGGGGCATCCCCCTCCAGCTACCCCAGTGCCTTCAGTCTGGCCTTGGGGCTTCTCCAGCTTTGATCCCCAAGTAGGGAGCCAGCACCTGGCCATCATGACCTCCATTGTATTTCCTTACCCTATGGGACCACCACCCCCATACTCCTCAGTCCCTCCGACTCTGAACGGGGATGCCTCTGGCCACTATCCCCAGATGGAATGGCAGATTCCTGCCAGCTCAGCCTTCCCGGCTGCAGTGGGTGGCTGTCCAGAGGAGCTCCTCACTTGGAGAGGTGCCAAGCCCCTCCATCAGAATTCAGGTTCAGGGCCTCAGGTTCAGCATTTGGGTACCTTGCATCACCCTGCAGCCCAGAGCTCTGCCCTCTGCCCCCTTCCCCCACTGAGGACCCTCAGCCCGATCCCCACTGACCCTGCTCCCCTCAGCTACCCTGCAGGGCCTGCCGTCACCTCTTCCAGTGCTCATCAGTCAGTCCCCCTGTCACCTGCCCCAACCATGGGAGATGTATTCCATGACGCCTAGGGAGCTGTGGGTCTGCCCAGACTCTTAGGTCTGACTTCTGATTTTTTGAAGGATCTCAGATGTAAGTTGTTCACTGCTCTTTAGTACACAGCACACTCTTGTTGGCCCGGGCAAGGCCCTCTATTTGTTATCTCTTTTCACTTTTATTTTCTTTGTCCATTGCCCTTCAACCCTGCTACCTGCACCCTTTCCTCTCTCCTGCCTTTGTCATGGGCCTGCACCGTAGTATGTTTGATGCAGGTCCTCAAATATGTGAGCATGCAGTCTTGTAAAGTGAGTTTTGCTTGCTTGTGTTTAGAAATTACACTAGTGACCTATTACAATAACTCAGGTTTCTTTGCTCTTTATCAGTTGACACAATGTTTACAATCCACCCACTGAGCTGTATGTATATTTAGTTTGTGGCTCAAAACTGCTCTGCCGAAGGTCCTAGTAGGGCCCACCACCCTTGGCTGAAAAAATGATCTGGGAAGATGGGAGCTACTGGTTGGAAAAGGAAATGCTCTCCATTTATTGAGGAATGGGTATACTTAGAGAAATGACGAGATCTGGGTTTGGCCATGGGAGCGGATGACTCCCATGGATGATTGGGGTAAGTTAAGAGATGACTGGCACTGAGAAGGAAAAAGAACAGAGAGCTGGCTGCATCCATCCATGTGGATGTGGGAATTACAAAGACATAGGGCAGGAGCAGTGGGGAAGAAAGCTGCTAGATCAGCTGCTGAATCCTAAGACATGAGGAGAGAGGACCGTGGCCAGAGAGAGTAGCAACCACATAGTCTGATGTGATCTTCAAAGGACAGCAGTGTGGAACGAGCCGTGAGGAGCAAGAAGCACCTGTGGACACACGAAAGAAGATGCTGGAAAGGACTTCAGGGGAGCAGTGCCCCCAGGGGAGCCAGGTGTCCTTTCCAGTGGGCATGCTGCATAGACTCTCAAAAGTATTCTGGGGCTTTTCTGATATGTTGGAAGAGTGTTACTCGCCTCTCATGGGCAGGACTGTGGAAACTAAGTGATTTACACTGTGCAGGTGTCCCTCCCTTTGGAGGACTGCCCTTGATTTCCCTGTCCTTCACTTGTCCCCCTGGCGGCTCGTAGAGGTGAGAAACCAAGGATAGTTCGTGAAGCCTAGGAAAGAACTCATTTTACAGAGACACAAAGTATGTTTGCAACCGTTTTAATGTCATGCCACACCAGTGACTGTGACCTCCCCGCTCATTTTCCTGTATTTTTTTTAAATGGAAATGGCTCTGATATTATTTCTCAGATCCTGACTTCTTGATCATAGTTCGACATCTGATGCCATCACGTCTTCTAGGAAGGCGTACCCAAGGATCCACATAGTAGAGACAGATTATTTCTCCTTCATTTACAAGTGTATTGACCTTTTAAAATATGTGTAAGTTATAATCTGTGATTTTTTTTAATCGTGAAATTATAGGTTTCCAGGAAGTTGCAAAGGCTGTGCAGGGAGGTCCCATGCGCCATCCACCCATTTCCCCCCATGGTTGCACCTTGCCTTACTCCAGGGTAACAGCAAATGGGGCGCCTGAGGTTGGGGCCATGTGGATATAGTTCTGTGCGATTGTGTCAAACGTGTGGCTTTCTGAAACCACCACCTCAGTCAAGACACAGAACTACTCTCTCCCAACAAAGATCTCTTTCGTACTAGCCCTTCCCCCTGCACCACCATCCCTGACTCCTGGCAACTGTTAGTATGTTCTCTGTGTCTGTACTCCCAGCATTTCGAGAATGTTGTATAAATAGAATCATACTGTATGTGAGACTATTAGCATTTAATATAATTATTGCTATGTTAGGGCTTAAATCTGTTATTTCATTTTTCATTTTCTACTTGTCCCCTCTGTTTTTCATTTCTGTCTTCTTTCACCTGTCTTCCCAAGGGTTTCTTGAACATTTATCTGTAATGTTTTTGAATGTATCTCTCTCTCTCTCTCTTTTTTTTTTTTGAGAGAGAGAGAGAGAAAGAGAGAGAACACCTGACAGTGGGGGCTGGGGGGAGGGGCAGAGGGAGAGAGAGAGAATCTCAAGCAGATTTCACGCCCAGAGAGGAGCCCAACATGGGGCTTGATCTCATGACCCTGAGATCATGACCTGAGCCAAAATCAAGACTCTAACACCTGACCGACTGAGCCACCCAGGCGTCCCTAAATGTATCTCTTTATATAGATTTGTAAAGAAATACACATCGTTCGAATTGTTTTCCTCTTACCGATTAGATGTCATTTCTCTCACTACTTTCAAGACTTTTTTTATCTTTAGTTTTCAGTAGTTGGACTATGACGTATCTTAAGTAAACTCTACTCCGAACATGGGGCTTGAACTCAAGACCTCAAGATCGAGAGTTCCACGCTCTTCTGACTGAGCCAACCAGATGCTCCTGGACTATGACGTATCTTGCTGTGAATTTTTTTTGAACTTACTTCATTTGGGATTGCTCAGTTTCTTGAATGTGTAGGTTTCTGTCTTCTGCAAAATTTGGGAAATTTCCTGCTATTATCTCATTGACTACTTTTGCAGCCCCACCCTCTCTCTCCTCTCCTGGGCCTTCAGTGACCCAAATGTTAGATCTTTTGTTATAGACCCACCTGTCCCTAAGATTCTGTGCATTTTTTTTTCTCACTGTTTGGACCAGATCATTTTCATCATTCTGTCTTGGAGTTTATTAATTCTTTCTTCTGTTCTCTCCATTCTACTTTGAGCCCATCCATTGAAGTTCCTTTTTTAAAATTTCAGTTATTTTTGAGTTCTAAAATTCCCATTTGGTTCTTTTTTTATATCTTCCATTTCTTTGCTGATACTTTCTATTTTCGTTTCAAGTGTGGTTTTAATTGCTTTAATTGCAGCAAGATACATTAAATGGGAACCAGGAAGAGCAATGACAGGACTGAGTCCTAACAATAATAAAAGCATCTTTTATGATGGTGGCTTCAAAGGGTCAGGTAATTTCCACATCCATGTCCTCTTGTATTTAGTCTGTGACTAAATTTTTTCATTGTGATTGAGATTCTGGTTCTTAGCGTGACAAGTGATTTTCAGTTGTATCCTGGACATTTTGGGTATTATGCTGAGGCTCTGGTCTTATTTAAAGCTTCTGTTTTAGCTGGCCTCCTCTGACACCAGGCTGCTGGTAGAAAAGGGGGATTGCCTTGTCACAGCCAGGTGTGGAAGGAGGTCCAGGTTCCCCACTTGGCCACTCTTGATGAGGAGTAGTGTCTTGCTCACCCCCAGGGTGGGAGCAGGTGAGGCTCCCTCTAGGCCTCCACGGATATGACCTTGCTGGGCCCAGGAGGGGCACTCTTTATAGCTAGGCAAGGGTGGAAGTCTGGGCTCCCCATTTGGCCTTTGCTGATGAGATGGGGCCATGTTTTTTTCCCATGGCGCTCTGCTGGTGGAGGGCGGTTCTTCACATTTGCAGTCTTCTGAGGCTTGCCCATGTTCGCTACCTTTGTATGCCCTTGCTCTATTATTTCTTTCACCTGAATGTAATCCCCTCCCTTTCTCCTGTATGACAGTTCTCCTTGGCGTAAATTTTATCTGGTTTAGGTATGAGCACCTCAAATTTGTTTTTATTTTGTATTTGCCTGTTGCATAGTCGTATAGCTTCATGCTCTTCCTTTCTGAATCCTTGTGTTTTGGATATTCCCCCTTTAGAGGTGTTGCTGAATCAGGGCTTTTTAATGACTTGAAGTCCGTTTACATTTCTTGTCGTTATTGTTAGGACTCAGTTCTGTCATTGCTCTTCCTGGTTTCCATTTAATGTATCTTGTTGCTGCCTTGTTCTCCTACTCACTTTCCCCTGGATGCATCTAGTTTTCTTCTGCTGGTTTGTATATTATTCTCAGTTTTCAAGGGATAACCAGTGACTTTGAAGATCTGTAGTATAGTGTCTCTCTCCCTGCCAGTTTCCTAAGCTTATCAGCAGATTTATCGCCCAGCCAATAAGACGGTTACTTGAGCATGCTTTCAGCACAGCAGACCTGTAGGCATCTAGACTCTTCATTCTGGATCTTTATAGATTTAGTGCTCTCTCTCCCTCCCTCTCCTTTTACTCTTTTAGATAAAAGAGTTACTATGTCATTGACTCACTCCTATCCTGCCCCCTGTCTCAGCACTCTCTCGCTGCATTTTTTATCTTGCTCTATTCCCCCCAAGTGCTTCCCGAGGGGGGTCTTTATGGAGCAGGCCCTCTGCAGCCGTGGGCTGCCCTCACGGTCAATGACCACTCAGCTGGAAGCTCAGGTTTCCGTGCGTCTTCTGTCAGCACTTTGAGAATACAGTGGACCCTTGAGCAAAACAAGTTTGAACTGCAAGGGTCCACTCCAGCCTGGATTTGGTAGGGTACGGTGCCATAAGTGTAGTTTCCCTTCTCGATTTTCTTATTTCTTTCGCTACCTTACTTTATTGTGAGAATACAGTATATAATGCACACAACTGCAAAATATGTGTTAGTTGGCCATTAGCAGGTAAGTTTTGGGGGGGTCAGAAATTATATGTGGATTATCTCCTGCATGAGGGGGTTGGCGCCCCTAACCCTTGCATTGTTCAGGGGTCAACTGTGTTTGTCTTTCGTCTTTGTGCCTGCCTGGGCGGCAGGGAAGCCTGGCAGCACCCCGAGTCCTGCTTCTGGTGGGTGGGAGAGTGTTTCTCCCAGGAACCTCTCAGAGGTGTTTTCCTACTTGAGGATATTAAATCTCATCATGTGTCTGCAGGGTGGGTGTTTTCATTCTCCATTCTTCTGTTTTTCAATCTTTAACTATAGAAAATTTTGGTCATCATATCTTCGAACACTCTTTCTGCTACATTAATTGTGTGTCTTCTGCTGAGATCCTAACATTTGGGTGTTGGAGCATCTATCCTCCACATC